CTGTGTGTGGAACAGGCAGGGAGATGGGTCTGGGTTAGGCTGGAAAATCAGTCAAGACTTAAAAAACCCCACCTAAGATGTTGCTTGGAAAGGTTGTGGCTGCCCCATCCCTGGAAGTGTCCAAGGCCAGGTTGGACGGGGCTTGGAGCACCCTGGGCTAGTGGGAGGTGTCCCTGGCCATGGCAGGGGGTGGCACTGGATGAGCTTTAAGGTCCCTTCCAACCCAAACCATCCTGTAATTCTATAATAAGATGGAAAGAAAAATCATGGAGGCTTCATTTGAAGCCTTTAAGACGAGCTCTAGGCTGAGGTTTTGAAGGATGAATCCAGAACGAACTCCAAGTGGGCATCAGGGTGGAAAGTGTCCACGACAGCGACCTTAGTTTCTTTGGAAAAGTCTGGATTCCACTGGTTGGGAAAGCACTAAATGTTGTATCACAACGGGAGTGCTCTGAGACTCTACAGGAAAACAAATTGCAAAACTACACTCTAGAAACACACACTAAAAAAAGCACCATCCTTGGAAAATCTCAGCTGTTTAACAATTTCTGATCAAATAATCAACTGTGCTAAACCCCTTCAAGTCTACATTTTGATCCCTCTGCTGAAAATTTGTTCTCGGTGCTTGACAAGACACACAGCAAAGTTTTTTATGAGCAAAGGGCACTTGGAAAATATATTCAAATGTGTGTCTTCCTGTAAAGCCCAGAGGTAAACATTATCTTTCAAAAACGTCTAGAGGCAAAAGGCTAAAAAGCAGTGAGGAATGTCAACGATTTCATGCATAAAATCATTCCCATAAAAAGCAAACAGTGGAAGAAGGGTTATATGGCTAAAATATGTGAGACTCAATGGAAAAACCTGCTGCTGTGGTGTCTTGAAAATATCAAATGGACCCAAACTCCATCAAACCCCATAATGATCCTGCTCTGCTCCCCACTTTGGCTTTCTTTGCAAAATAGCACCTCTTTTTATGGCTTATTCCTTCCTCCAACAGGGGCTGCAGCCTCTGGCTCGACAGCTCATATCCTGATCCGGCCTCTGCCCCTATTTCACGGGCTGTGAACACATCTCAGCTTCCCAAACTTTGACAAGACCCTTCCCAGCAACAGATGGGCACTGAGAACATTTCCATTGACAAAGGATGCACTGAATGTCAACAGGAGTTCAAAATCCAGGGACAGCTACAAAAAAATAGCTCTGCAGTGGTGCAGCCCCACCTGACTGGGTGGCTGAAATGAAGCATCCTGCATACCCTGAGGAAGGGAATCTGCTGCAAGAAATTGAGAAGGGATGGGGGAAAAAGGGACAAATCATCCTAACCAGCATTTTGGGAGCTCAGGAGGAGCAGTTTCGTTGTCACACGAATGTGGGATTTACTTGAATCCCTCTCTTAAATCCACTTCTTCCCCTTGATGGCACCCAAAAGGCCCATTCTCACAAAAGGATGGAGGCCAAAGAATTCACAGAATCCCAGAATCATTCAGGCTGGAAAAGCCCTCCAAGGTCACCGAGTCCCCCCTGTGCCCGATGCCCACCTTGTCCCCCAGCCCAGAGCACTGAGTGCCACGGCCAGGCCTTCCTGGGACACCTCCAGGGATGGGCACTCCAAACCTCCCTGGGCAGCCCCTGACAAGGCCTCACCACCCTTTCCAGCAACAAATTCCTCCTCCTGTCCAACCTGAGCCTCCCCTGGCACAGCTGGAGGTCAATCCTGACAATTAAAAATAAAAATTAGGAGATTCCAAATCAAAAACAGACCTTTCTAAATAGAAAGCTTTGTAACAGCTGGGACATACAATTGGAAACTTCCACTAATAAATATCTAATTCTGCATCTGTCAGGCCATAGGAAGACAATTGCACTGCTTTTTTTCATTGCCATCTAATTAATCCACTAATGGCTTTGTTTACAAACCAGGCTAGAGGCTGCAATAGATTTGATTGCACTTCAAAATCTGTGGCCAGATTTCTCTTAAAATCCAAATACAACTGAAAAGTGTCGTAGTGTCCATTTAAAAAAAGGTCTTGTATGGCCCCCATAAAATGTGGCTGAAACTTTATGTGTGTGGTTTTATGTGTGCCTTTACTCATCTCCATATTATAAAGGGGTTTTGCTTTTAGTGGTCCCCATCAAGCCAAAAAGACTTCAAGGGGGTCTGTGTAGCATATAAAAAAACATGCATTGATGGCTTGGATTATAAAATAAGAAGAATTTTAGTAACTTTGCAACTATTAAAATCAAGCCAGAGAGGGCTGGGAGGATTTTTGAGAAAAAGAAGGGAATTTAGAGCAGTTTTTACAAATTGAAGCCTGGTCAGTGCCCAACCACCCTCTGGAGGAAGAACCTTTTCCTAAGATCCAACCTAACCCTGCCCTGGCACAGCTCCAGCTATTCCCTGGGTCCTGCTCAGGATGTAAAGCTCAAAAGCACATTTATTCCTTCAGAGTTCTTCAGGTTCAGGTGATAATGGTTTTCAAATCCACACAACCCAAGCTCACCAGCTGTATGTGTTTGTGTTTCCAGGTAGGCTACAGCAGGGAGACAATAAATATTAGGAGTAAAACTTCCTGGGGACCTCCTTCCCTAAAGACTTCAACAAGAAATCAGGGAAAACTGATCAGCAGTGGTTAGGAATATCTGACTCTGCTGCATGATGGGATCTGCAGGTCCCTTGCAGCCCCAGGATGTGCCAAGCTGGGTGTCTTCCAGAGGACACGGACCTGAATTTTACCTGTGCTCAGCCACCACCCACACAAACTGATTTCAAGGCAATAATGGCTCTAATCCCATATGTTCAGATACTCCCACGTATTTATTTCAGAGCTGTCAAAAATAATCTTGATATAAAACCAAAATAACTGACCTGGGGCAGACAATTGGAAGCTCAGGACTTAAATGAAAAGGAAATTAAGGCCCAAAGACAAGAGCAATAAAGTCCAGGAGAGATGATTTATGAGTGCTGGGGACACCTGACCCACATCCCTGTCCTTTGCAAAGCAGGACATGAACAGGAGGTGACACTCCCTATTCCCATGTGTTACTGAGGCACCTGGGGCCCAGCACAGGAGATGCTCAACTGACCCAAAGCAGAGAAGCTGAGCTGCAAAAAACAGTGGGTGCATCCCAAAAAGTCCACTCCTATTATTTTCAGGGCAGACTGTGGTCTCTCCAACCCTGGATGGTTTATGCCCTCAAGAGAAACCTGGATAAAAGTTAATTACAAAGTCCAGTTAGGGATGAGGAAGAGCAACCACCAGTTGCCCTCTTGAGTGGTATGGGGGATGATCCCGGGGGATCTTGCCCACACTATAAAAATCCTCCTCCTTGCAATGTACTTTACTCATTTCATCAATTTTACTCTTGGAAAGCACAAAAATGTGAATGTTTTCCAGGAACATTCCTGCACTAACAGGCTCCTGTAACACACTCAGGCAATAAAAGAGTCAATTCCTCCACCGTGTTTTACATTTCGTTCCATTTTTAGCCTGAAATAATAAACCCATGTTTTTCATGGAGGAAGTGGAAGCAATTTTAGGCTCTGTTTTGACAAAAAGAATATTTTCTTGGTTTTACAACATCTCCCTCTGTGGTAAAGAAAAACAATAAAACCTGCAGCGTCGAGCTGCACTTTTAAATATCTTTTATCCTTCTGGGTGCAATTCAGCATTAGCTAAAAATGAGCTGAACCAGCATTTTCCTGGTTAGCAGAGGGGCACCCACCCCTGAAGAAAACCCCTGTGAGGTGATAGAAATGCTTTTGCCATCAGCAGGTTCAGGGCTTCTTGGAGGCTGCTGAGATGAAGGTGAAGGGACTTCAAAAGGGCACAACCCGGATTAAACTCCTGCTCTGAGGCATCCTCAGCAGATGACTACAGAAGGAGCAGGGAAAGGGAATGAGGGAGCTCTTGGGACTCTCTTCCAAAACAACAGTTGCTAACAGCAAACAAATAACAAAGGAAACCCCAAACCCCAGGAAGGGACCGACACTCTCCCAGACACTTTCTCCTCCGCACGACTTTATAGACATCCAACCAGGAAAAGTCAGAAATAAATCCCAGGGGAGCTGTGCTCTGAACACAGAATTTACTGGTCACCTCACAAACAATCACCAAAACACCTCATTTTGCCCATTTTCCAACTCCCAGCACTACAGGTGCATTTGGCTCCCACAGGGCTCCAGAGCAGGGCTTTCCCTGAAGTTTTGTGATGGCAACAGTAACTCTGCTCCTTTTCTGCCCCTAAATTGTAGGAGTTCCTGACATATTCTGCCAGTGTCCGGTGTCAGAAGCTCCCCTGTGATGTAAAATACCTCCCTCTTTCTATTCTCAGTTTCTGTATTGATGGGATGTTACAAATGGGCCACATGCTGCCCTTGGGTCTCCTCTCGCTCAGGCTTTGCCTCAGCAAAGAGCTCAAAATCCAACAGAGCAAAAAGCAAGCTCAGACTTTGTCTTTTCTCTACAGTTCTGCAACAAGTGAGTAGCTTTCTGGGATGTTTTGCCACGGTGCAGGCACTGAATGTACAGCTGTCAGGAGCACTATCTCTAGACCTGAATTAGAAACTGCTTAGGAGCGACGTGGTACCTTACTCCGGTAAGATTTTAGGTTGCCTTTTTAATCCTAGTGCTCAACAGCCACACGGGTTGTTTTTAAAAGGCCATAAATCAATGCCATGAACCACTTAGAGAGAAAATCACTGAATATTCTGAGCTGGAAGGGACCCATAAGGATCTTTGAATCCATTTCTTTAGTGAGTGGCCCATTCAGGGATCAAACCCACAACCTGGGTGTTATCAGCACCAGCCGAGTTAATCTCTCTCAACCCACCACATAAATTCTTCTTGTTACTGTACATTTTTACTTCTCGGGGAACATGATTTATCTTTCTTCACCCATTAGAAAGCACATCATCCCATCATATAATTCAGGTGTAATTAAGAAAAAAGAGGGCTCATAACACAGGGCTGATGCCAGGAATAAGAAGAAAGGTCACCTACCAGCTCCACTCGGCCGAAGCCTCCGACTCCCAGGGTGTCGATGATGTTGAAGTCGGCCAGCTTCAGGTTGGCAAAGAAGGCAGCTTCGGCTTCGTATCTGGAGGTTTTGAGGCGAAAAAACGGAAATTTCTTAGAGGTGCAGCCAGGGGCACCGTGTGCCACCACGCCCGCCCGGTGCCAGCGCGGGGGCGCAGCCTTTACCTGCCGCGTGGCCATCGGGGCTCTTAGGGTTTGCTTTTGCTCATGGGGTTTTGCTGGTCCCAGTTCCAGCCTCGCTCCGGTTTTCCAAGGGGGAATAGCAAACCTCCCCTAGGCATGGCTACAAAGCAAACGCCTGGCACTGCAATTCAGCTCCAGCCACCCGCCGGGCATTTTCAAGTGATCTTCTCCTGCCTGGTTTGGTTGGTTTTTTTGGGTTTTGGTTTGGTTTTTTTTTTTGGTGTCTTTGAGTATTTTTGGAAGATAAAAGTCTCTCATAGGAGTTTCTCTTATCCACAGGCCGGCAGTAGTTTCTATAAATGTTTATTGGAAATGGCAAGATCATTAAGGTCCCTGGAGAGAAATCACAGCCAGGTTTTATGAAATCAGATCCGATAAGCTGTGGGCTGGTGTGCAAATGCCTGAAATGAATGACTTCAGTCACATATCAACATTCCTATGAGGATATCTTCCCTTCTTTTCCTCCTGTAAACTCACTCGGAGTAGCTGTCCCAACCCAGGTTCCAAAATCCAGATGCTCCCTGTCTTTAGCCCGTGTCCAACTGGCTCCCACAGGCGTCCACCAAAGCCCCTGACCAGGGGTAGCATGCAAATCAAACACATGCAAGCCTGCCAAAATAAGCTTCCCATGACTACCCCCATGAACATGAGTCCTCCAAAATAGCTCCTTGTTAAGGTTTGTGCTATTTTTAGAAAAGGCTCGGAGGGGAAATGGATGAACAGGATCCACCCACTCAATAAAATGTGACATTCAGCTGCCGGAGAGTCCCCGCGAGCGTCCGACCTTTGGCCGGTGGCAGCACAGACTTGTATGGGAAAAGGGAGTTGGCTGGATTATGGAGGGAGGCATGGAGGGTGTACAGGGGCAGCTGGGTGGTTTGCAGGACTTAGTTTGAGCAATTAACAGACTACCATCACCTGTTTCACCTGGAGGCTTCACTCGTGCAGGGTAACGGAGTGACAAACCATCCCGGTGGGAACCACGGACACACAAATCCACCCGGCCAGCTTTTGAACGTCCCCTGTCCGTCACGGCCTGTCTCTATTTCATTAGCAGCTTGCAATTGATTTCCTGACTGATTCCCTTCAAACCACCTTCCTTAGTCTATTTAAAACTCCAATGACACTGGGGGACAGAGAGCAAAGACCCATCATTTTTCAAGCGAAAAGGGGAAAAATCGGTGTCAAGAAATGAGAAAGGTCTCGCCATCGAGCCCCAGACCCGATGCAATAAAGCACAATTTTCTCTTGGGGAGGGGGGTGTGGTGCTGTCAACAAATTACTTCAGCTCTGCTTTATTATTTATACTGTCACCAGATCCCCTGGGTGACCTTGCTCCTGATGCATCCGACTTTGGAAACCAATGAGCGCAGAGCCTGCTCTGAACTTGGGATAACCTTGTTATTGATCGCTCTGTGCTCCTCACGAGCTGCATATTAAACCAGCCACCAGAACACCTCTGCTGAATCCACCACATGTTTAGACATCCCCTTCTAAATCACAGCAGACACATCGTTTTCGGGGTGACAGAGCAAAGAGACGGCTCTAATTTTCGGGATAAAAAATTAGAGCACCGGTACAGACCAGTTAAACACCCTTAACGGTTTATAATTGTTATGAAGGTGAATTCCCAGCATGGAAGATTTCCCTTCAACAGCCAAACTTCAGGTCAGGAGGCAAAAAATGGGTTGGCTTGGAAGGCACCTTAAAGACCATCTAGTTCCAACCTTCCTGCCACGGGCAGGGACACCTTCCACCAGACCAGGCTGTGCAAGCTGAAAGCTTCTGGGTTTTCACTGGAACACGTAAAAAGAGGTGTTCAGGTGTTATTTTGCTTAGAAAATGTACTTGCAGCATTCTTGTGATTGCTTTTGGAAATCTCTTGGCTAACTCTCTGCTCAGGTGCAGTTTGTACACGCAGGTAGATGAAACAGATTGGATGCAGTTTTTCCAGAGGTGCCACAAGCATCCAAAACACAAAAGAAATGCCCAAAATAAACAGTGAAACCAAAACACGTGCAAAATCAAACAAACAAGCCCTTCTCATGCCTACTAACAACAGCCCCAGCTGAATTCTGTTTTATTCCCACCTACAAGTGTCAAAGTCCACGTTAACACCAAATTCCTACAAACTTACAGTCGTTATGCACTTCAGTCCTGCAAAGCTTAAGGATAAATAACTCCAACAGAAAGATCAAAATGCAAATATTCCCCTGCCATCTCCTAAATCAGAAACTGGGGTGTGATCCTTATCCTGAAATTGAGAACAGGAATTCACCTCCTGTCCTCCAACTTGCTTAAGCTGAGTTTGCTGCCCCCTAAAACTCCCAAGGTTTTCCAGCGTGTGCTCCTCGCTCCACACATTTATAGGGACAAACATATGTGATGGCATATTTATCACCTCCAAAAGTAAAGAGACTCTTTCAAGGCACTGGGAGGGCAGTGCCAAGAAATACAGAAATAGTTTAAATGTTAATTTTGGTGTGTCTGTAGGAAAACATTCAGTTCTGGACCAGGATAAAGATACTGAGGAGGATCCTTGAGATAGTCACAGAATGGGTCAGGCTGGAAGGGACCACAGCAGAGCATCTGGTCCCACTTCCCTGCTCCCATCTCAGAGCATGTGGCACAGGATTGTGACCAGACAGCTCTGGAATACCCCCAAACTTCCATCAATTTTATTCTAAATCCACAGCCTTGTGCTGGTGTTCCCAAACTTTCCAGAGGGGAAAACGCTTTCCTGACCTCTGGAAGAGCTGGTGATTTAGTTCCTAAATTAATAAATGACAGGTGTGTTGAGAAGACACCTCGGGCAAGCCCAGGGCAGGATCAGCGTTCCTGGCATGGTCAGTGAGGTGCTGGAGTGACACAGAGGAAAGGCTGGAATGTCCTGGGCTGGGATTTCTGGGGTTGTGTGTCTCTAGCTGAATTAGGAGTAAGTAAGAGAGAACCCTTCTCTGGATATTTTGGTAACTGTGCTGGCTCACAGGCCAAAATGCCGGGAGAATCATAGCTGGAAGCACACAAAAAGAAAAGATACCTGGGAAAAATGGGAAAACCAAGGAAAAGTTGGTTCTTTAATAAAGACCTTTTAAAAACGAAGGCTGCGATTCCCACAAGAGCTCGTGGGAGGCCAGGAATCAATTCCCAATGCACTCTTAAGGTGTTTTTTGCTTATTGATAGTGGGCCTTATCACCTACCCTACAGCAAACAGAGGCTGGCAGAGCTGGGGCTGACAGGAGAGGTGGGACATCAGGAACCAGCACAGGGAAAGAGGGATTCAGATCTAAGTGAAACAGGAGCATCCTGCAGAACCCCTCAGGCTCTTCTCCAAGGTTTCCCGCAAATCTGAATGACAGAGGGACCTACTGAGGCCTCAGTGGCTTCCTGCAGCCACCTTGCCCTGAGGGGTATCCATGTGCTCCCATGGAAGAGCTGGGCCTTGGCAACACCACCTCTTTCTCTCCCTGCAGAGGAAACACATCCTCCTAAGGAGCTGCCTTGCTCCAGCTCCTCTTGGGCACGGAGAGGCATCACATGGAAGAAACCTGAGTGATCAGGGGGCTCAGGAGTAAATACCATCACCCACGTCCCATCCCTTTGGAATGGCAGCACAGGAACCACAGGCCAAGCGTTTGGGCAATGCCTGCTATGCACAAGGGGAGAGGAAATCACGTGGCTTCTTGCACTGCTGGAGGTTCCAAACTATTTCAGTGAGCCATCACCTCCTAGCACGGTGATTACTCCGAGAGCTACCCCAACTTTTCCTCCCAGAACCACAAATAAAACCAAAAAAATGATTAAACAACTATCTCACCTAGGCAGCTAAAAGGGATAAATGAGAACATGTGAGGAGCAAAGGTTTGCAATTATCCAACTGCTCAGCTTTACTAAACTAGCTCACGATTCCCATCACATGAGCCAACTGTGTTGGGAAACATTAGACATCTGTTAGCAAACTGTCATCCTGAGAGCAAACTTGGCTCCTTTCCACCTGCACGCTGCCAACCAGACAGAAATTGCCACCAAATGGGAACCAACCCCCAGCTCCCTGAGAGGAACAGTTTGGGTGGATAAAACCCGAATTTCGGAGCCCTCCCCGGTGACAGACACCTGCTTGTTTAACAGCTCTTTGGTCAGCTTTATATCCATGGCTGAGGCCATGTCCTGCTGCAGAGGGAACCACTGGATCTCTGCAAAGACTGGAACAATTACAACAAAGTCATTTGGGTGGTGAGGATCAGACCCAGCCTGTGAGAAGACACACCTGAAAGGAGCCTGAGAGCCACAAACGGGGTGGGGGGGAGAAATACACCCAAAACCCCCCTTATTTCTGTGTCCACTAAAGAAAAGAGTCCATCTCCTTATGGTTCTTAAGATATAGCAAGATTCTTAAGGGATCACAGAAGCACAGAATCACAGACTGGTTTGGGCTGGAAGGGAGCTTAAAGCTCATCCAGTGCCACCCCCTGCCATGGGCAGGGACACCTCCCACTAGCCCAGGTTGCTCCAAGCCCCGTCCAACCTGACCTTGGACACTTCCAACTAAATTCTATTGAAATGCTGCTTCAGCTGGTGTGGCATTAAAAAAAAAAAAAAATCAGTCTGTGAAAATGAAAGCAAAAATTCCCCCAGATCTTTGGTTTTGTGGCTGTTCTTTCCCTGCATCTGAAGATACATATTTTAATCATGATGAAATGACCCACCTGGGTCTAGTCTGCCCATGGTACCCATGGCCTGCCTGGCACCCTGAAGTCACGGGAGGCTTCCTGGATTGGATTCATGACTTAAGAGAGATGTAATTCCAAAGGGGAATGAAAAGTGGCAGGGACATGGATCGAGTTCATGTAACAAGGAGGCTTCGTTGTCGGAAAGCGATGGAAGGAGGAGCAGATGAAGCAAATGGAGGCAGGGCTCCCATGCCTTCCCTTCCCACCGGCTCCAATGGCTCCAAAAAGCCCGGGATCACGTGTTCCCAAGCGATTTTGGGCAAGGGGAAGTCTGTGGATGAAAGCAAAAAAAAAAGCACCTCGTGTCGTGCCCACACGAGGTCCTTACCTTCACCCTGTGTGAGGGGGCTCAGGAGATTTAGCCACACTCAGGCAACAGACAGAAGCGGGGACAGCGACTGTATTTTACACAACCAGCAAGATCCAGAGCCTGGGAATGCCTGAAAGCAAATTCTGGAGAGGCATTGAGAGCAAATCCGTATTCCTTCCTGGTGTGTTGCCACTCATCCTCTCAGAGGTCCCACCCCATGTGCAAACCCTTCTTATCTGGCATTCCCTGCATGTATCAACCCTTTGGGTCAGGACATTCTGAGGGGAGAGAGATCCCCTGGCAAAGCATTGCAGCAGAACAAAATGACCGAGGGTATGAACCCAAACCCCTGGTGGGGTGGTGGGAACCCAAACCCCTGTTAACACGCTCCTCAGACTTCTCCAGGGGTCTGACCCTTCAAGGTGAAGAGCACTCTCAGGCCCCCATGGAATTGTATGAGCTGAAAGAGGGATGCTCACCCCAAAATCACCCTCAGGCAGAGCAGGCAGCGAGAGCAGGCAATAACTATCTCCCAAATCCCACCCCTCTGGAGGGGAAAGGCCTCTGCCTTGTGCTTCTTCCTCAGGGACCCAATGTCCATCTCCCTCATGATGCACAAATGCACCTGTGACATTCCCAGTATCCCTTTCCATAACTGCTGTCATTTGAAACCAAAGGTATCAAGGAAAGGCCCAGCTCTTTGCCTGCTTTACTGTCAATCACAGAACGTCACAGAAAAGCTGAATTCACTTCAGGCTCTGTCACATTATTGCCATTTATTAGCAATAAACAGCATGTTCACAAACACAGGGATGACAAAATTATTCCAGGACATCTCCATTGGCAGGGAAAGCAGGAAAACACTGATGGGAGACAGTGAGTTGTCAGATAAAAGTAGCAGCACGAGATGACTGTGACAGCTCCCATGGGCCTGAAGGATCCCACCCAGCCCTGAACGGTGGTAACCAGGGAGCCATTCCCTAAATCCCAGTGGGGTTCTCTGCCCTTCCACACAGACTGATGGCACGCTAATGTGCCCACAGATCATTTCTGCCTGGTATTTGCTATTCCAATGCCAAGCCATTCCTGGAGGGATGGATGCCGTGGTGTTACCCACCCAACTCGACCGGTCAGAGAGGGTCTACTGGCAGATGAGGATTTGCTGCCCTGCCCCAAGGAAGACCAAGAAGAACTTCAAGCTCATTGTCCACTCTGGCATTTTTTCTAATTGCAAACAACACTGAAAGAGTGAAAGATGTGTATGGATCTACCTACACGGAGCTGCAGACAGAGGGATGCAGGGAGAAAGTATGAGAGCTAATAACCCAGCTTTTCCTGAGTTCAGGTCTCCTCCTTCCAGCCCATCCTTCTGAGGTCAGCAATGCAGTGGCTTTAACTCCTGGTTTAGCTGCTACCACTTCCTTCTACGTCTTACACCTTCAACTCAAAATCCAAATCAAGAGCCACTTTATTTGGATTTTGAAAAGCAATGTGCTGGTGGTGACAATGGGATTGAAAGCTCCAGCTGCACAGACCATTGCACTGAAAAGAAAGGCTGTCTTTCTTTTCCAGTTCATGTTGTCAGGGCTGGGAATTTCTCTGGGACCCCCCATCACTCCAGCTTGCAGTGTACTTGCCTTTCATGCCTTTCACATCAGGAGAAAATAGCATTACCTCCTGGTTTAGATTTTCTTACAGAAAGTGAACATTTGAGTGGCAGCTAAACCAGACATTAAAGCTATGGCATCTCTAACTTCCTCTGGGAGGGGAAGGAGATCTGAAATTAAAAACATAGAGTTAAAAAACTAACAGGTTACTTTTTATTCCCCCTCCTCCCCCCCCCCGTTTTAAAAGCACATCACTTTCCAATTAGAGCTTGGCAACATGAACAAGATATTGTGCTGTTAGACTAAGCTGTGCTCACAGACTAAGCTGTGCTCACAGACTAAGCTGTGCTCATCCCCAGTTGGTCCCGGAGTTAAGCAAATAGATTTGTTTGAATTATGGGGCTTTGAAGACCTGCTGCTGCACAGAGACCAATTTCACCCAGAAATGGAACTGAATGCACTCAACTGCAGCCAAACCAGCTCAGAAAGTGCTTCCCATGATCCAGGCTCTTTCAGAAGTCTGAATTCTGGAGTGTTGCTGAAATCCTAAATGTGCCAAGAGATTGGTGATTGCTTATTAAACAACTTGTGCTTGCTGGGTTCAGTGCCTCCCACCCAGCACTGCAGAGGGTGGACAGAGTATCTGGACACAGGATGTGTAAGGAGAAAACACCTTCAAATCCAAATTTCACCCTTTTTTTTTGTCACCATGGGATCCTCTCCTCTTGTAACACAGAGCAGCATCATTCCCTTGAAAATCCACGGCTGCTCCCGTGGGTCCAAGCTCACAAAACCCAACCCTTTACTCGAGCAGACACCAGGGCTTTGTGTCCCCGTGGGTGTGCTTGGACTGCACCCTGTTCCTGCACATCCACACGATGCTGGTGTGCCAGAAACAAGACCAAATTTTGGGCGAAGAACCAAAGAAACCAGGATAGAAAATGCCAGCTGATGGTAACTCTGTGCAGACACAAAGCAGAGTGATTTCAGTAAGGCACAAGGTTCTCAGGAGGGGTTTTAGGGAACGTGGTCCCTGGTTTTCACTGGAAGTCAGTGGGAGGTCACTGTGGAAATGCTTATTTTTGTTTTCTAGATGCACATGTTTCTCCCTCGACTTCTAACAAAACACCCTGGTGCTTCCAACAGGACCCTCTCAGGGTCCTGCTCTGGGAAGTCCTGGATTCAGCTCTGGCCAAAATAACATTTGCACTTTTGTAATAGTCCTAATGCTGAGAATGTCCTGAAATAGTTCAAACAAGACACCCTACAGAATAGTCTGACTTCCAAACCCAAGCTTTTAATCCATTTTAATTAAAAGGGGCGGAGGGAGGATGTGCAGTATTCCTTCCTCTGGTGGTGTTTCCTGTCCTGTACAGTATTAAAAGATATTGCTTAAGGATGGGGGTTGTTTCTTCTCTTTTCCCTCCCTTTTTTTCTTGTATCTTTTTTTAACTCTGGAAGTTTTTAGATGGAGAGTAAAGAAGCTGCCTCACTGCTGCCGTGTCACATCACACCACACCGTGGCTCAGAGGGGAGGGATCCAACCCAAAAGAGTTGCTGATGCCACTTTTGGCTTTACCTGGGTGGGAAACTCATTGGGGACTGGGCAAATAAAACATGAGGACGTTTTTCCAACTCCAAGACCTGAAATTCCAGGCTCAACAAACTCCTGACTCCTCACGGCACCTCAAACGCTGCACTCGGACCTCGACACCTCCACTTCACTCCAAGGGGAAAAGCATCCAAAAGATCATACAAAATGTTATCTATCAACAACCTTTCCCCCCTGACAAATCCATGTTCAAATCACACCTTTCTGTAAACAATTTCCCCGACAGTTCAACGTTTTATTAGAAAATTCCCTACCAGTTTGCCTTGGGCTGTGGCATCACCACAGTGCCAGTGGAACTCCTGGTTTACTCTCCCACCCTACAAATATCCCAATATCATGATGTTTCCACACCAGTAGTGGGGGGGGGGTTTCAAGTTTTACTGTGATTTTTTTCAGGGTATTCAGCTGAAATATTCCAGCTCTTACACAGTTCATTGTAGGACTGCCCAGGACTTTTTGCCTGGAGCATATTATTTCCTAGATAATTCTTCCTGTGGGTCACTACTCAGATAAAATTTGGGTTTAAACCCCCAGAGGCTGAATCAGCTCCAGTTTGGGTGTACTGGGCAATACTGATTTCTGTGGTAGCACTCACATCCCAGCTTCTAAAAGAGTACAAAGTCAGTGAAAACTAAACTTCCCATGGTGATGTTAAATCCCCTTGGAGAATTTGGAAGGAAAAAACTGGTATTATGGCAAGGAAGGAGGCAACTCACTGAATTCCCTCTCTTCTCATCAGCTCTGAATTCAACAGTTTGGATCTGTAGACAATAAAATCTATTTGGAAGACAAGACATCAAGGGCTTTTTCTTTCATTTTTCCAATTGACTTCTGAGGCGATACCTACAGATCCCTGTGTTTTTCCCTTTGGAAAACACCAAGGAAAACCCAGGTTTCTGTGAATGCCCAGGGAAATGGGTAAGCACAATAAATCCCAGCTTCCAAACTGGATTCAAAGGCACCACAGAACAACCCCAGAGCTGTTTTTTTTTAAGGAAAGTTGTTGGGGAAGAGCCACGGAACAACCTCAGGAGGGGGGATGTGATCCCAAGGAAGGCTGATCTAATTGCAGCCTGAAATTGCTCCAATCTCAGTTAGTTCTGCTCGTTGCCCTTCTGCCTTACAAAGTCTCACCACCTAATTGCAAACTGCTAATTAGATCCCACGAACCCCAAATGGGCTCATCTGAGCATGTAAACACTAAACAGCCCTTTTTTTGCCTCCAGCCTTAAGGCAGGACCGTGTTGCCTGCACAGGAAAGGCTCACCATGGCAACAAACGCTTGGTTGCAGCTTTCTCCTCTTAAATTTTTTAAAGAAAGTGAGAACAGATCGATATATTGCTGATGTTGGACACACTTCTTGGTCCAACTCGCCCTGTTCGCTGCTTATTGCCCATTTGTCCAAGTCCCAAGGGGTTCACACAGAGCTGTGTCGGTGTTTTGCCCTCCTTTCTTTTTCCAAAAGGCCCCAATCCTCTGGGAAAAAGCCCCCTGCTAGATGGTTTCCAGCTTGACAGCTGCTCTAAGAAGTAGAGGTTCACCTTGAGTGAACTTGTGTCCCTTCCCCAAGGGCTGCCAAGGGGCATTTCATGGAATCCCAGAATGGTTTGGGTTGGAAGGGACCTTAAAGTCCATCTCATCCCACTCCCTGCCATGGGCAGGGACACCTCCCACTAGCCCAGGTTGCTCCAAGCCCCATCCAACCTGGCCTTGGACACTTCCAGGGATCCAGGGCAGCCACAGCTTCTCTGGGCAACCTGTGCCAGGGCCTCCCCACCCTCACAGCCAGGAATTCCTTCCAATATCCCATCTCTCCCTGCCCTCTGGCAGTGGGAAGCCATTCCCCCTTGTCCTGTCCCTCCACCTCTTGTCCCAAGTTCCTCTCCAGCTCTCTTGGATCCCATTTAGGCACTGAAAGGTTCTCTAAGATCTCCCCAGGGCCTTTTCTTTTCCATCTCTTCAACATTTCTGGAGCCTCTTCCAAACTGTCAAGCAGACCCATGTGTGACAGGATCTGGAGGTACTGCTGGGTAATGATGTTCCCTTGATCCAGTGGCTCCCTCAAAATGCCCACAGAGCATCAGAGAGAGCTACTAATTACTTTGGGATCACCAGCCTAAAAACCTCCCAAGGCATCACTGCAAAACCCTCAAGGTTTTCCTCCCTTGGCCAACATGGAAGCGCTCCAAGCGCTGCTGGTGGGAGTTGTTGCATCTGGCACGTTTCCTCCTAATTAACTTGGAAAAAAAAAAAGATGTGACATGGAAGAGGAAGGCGGGGAGGAAGGGGAATATTACATCAAATCCTACTGAAAAAGTGGGAGCAGGCAGGAAGCAGGTTTTTCCTTACAAAGCAAGGACGTGTGCACACAAAGCGAGGCTCCTCGCTCCACTTGTTCACTCTGGCAGGCAGATGGAACTGTGGGAAGAGATCAGTTCCACATAACCCACCCCATCCCGGGATCTCCCCGTGCCAAACCCACTTTTAATTGGGCTTAGCTGTTAGGATTTTGCTTTCTTGTGTGAGTATTGCTTTGGGAAGCAAAATCAGCATCTCAGGCCATGCTGTGGGATAGATTCTGCAGAGGCAGAAAGAGCTTCACAACTCCACACAAATAATGAAGGCCAGGATCTGGCAAAAGTCGAGAAAAAGCATCAAAAAGAAGGGTCAATTTGAAGAAAACCTGGAGAGATAGAAAAACCAACACAACTGTGCATGTGCAGTCCCACAACATCTCAGCAAGGTCTAAGGATGACCAACAGGAGAACTAGGAGGGGTAAATCTCGAGGGTATGGCACGGGGGCATGGCATGACCATGGCTGGGATGCCAGAACTGCAGCCACAGGAGATGCTGGAAACAGGAAGGCCACACCTGTCCTAAGGAAAGAGTAATTTGTTGTGTTAAATCAGGTTATCAAAGCAAATCATCAAGTCATGCAGATCATCTGCAGAGGGAAATTCCATTCTAACCAGGGAAGGAGAGTATTGAGATCACTGACCATTAGGATGAGCAAGAGTGGCTGTGACCTTAAAGATCATCTCATTCCACCCTCTGCCATGGGCAGGGACACCTTCCACCAACCCAGGTTGCTCCAAGCCCCGTCCAGCCTGGCCTTGGACACTTCCAGGGATGGGGCAGCCACAACCAGGTTGATGCCAGACCCATTTCAAACTTCCCTTTAACAGAAACCGTGATGTGCTGAGCTCAAACATGGCTGGAGGGCTGAAAAGAGGTTCAAAATAGAAGCACCACTCTTGCACTCAGCAAATCAAAGAAGGGAATTGCAAAAGTAGCTAAAAAAGTTGAAGAGGAGGATTCAATCTTGGCAGTGGCACGGGGGGATCTGGATACAGCCAACATCCCAACTCTCACTGTGGATCCAGGAGAGGTCAAAAGGAAGTTGATGTGGCTGAGCAGCAGGGTTAGCCACTACATTAACAGCAAGAAGGCATCCTTCAAATAGGAAGTAGTTTCAAACAAATCCTTTAAGAGGAAAGAAAAAAAAGAACCAAATCCTGTCCAGTTGAAGGGAAGAACACCATAAGACAGGCAAAAA